GGCGGGGCCACCCTGGAGCACCCCCCCACCACGGCTGGGGAGCACTCAAGGTCCCAGGAGCTGGGGGGGGTCTCCCCCCCCCGCCCCCCGGGAAGGGCAGGAGCATTCCAGGAGCGTGGTCTGGCCATGCTGCAGTGCCACGGGCTCCCACCCCATCCCCAGAGCGGGCACCCCGCTACAGCCACGCCCTCCCAAAGGAAGACTCGGTTCAAGTAAGAGGGCGAGGGACGCGGCTAGATGGGGCCAGGCGATGCCACGCTGCTCCCACGTCCTGGCATCCCGCCCCACTGGCTGCACGCTGGCAGGATCCGTCCCGCTGCCTCCCCGCTCAGTCCATGTTGGCGCTGGCCGACCTGGAGATGTTCAGGGTCTGGGCAGAGACCGAGATGTCCTCGTGGTCCACGGGGCTGTGGTAGTCGGAGGTGATGTCAGGCTCGCAGGGGGGCACCTGCACAGCAGCCAGGCTGAAGGAGTTCATGGAGCCCTTGCGGAGGCACTGGGAGTAGACGCCGAGCAGCAGGTCCAGCTTGTGCTCGATGGACTGCACCTGCAGGGGCGGGCAGTGCTGAGCGGGTCCCTCCCTGTGGGGAGGGGACCCGGGGGTCCCGGCTCCCCCATCCTGCAGGCGCCGAAGGGACAGTGACATGCTCCCCGGTGGCCGTCCCCTCCTGACCTGCCTCTCCACTTTGACCACGCGACCCATCATGCTGAGCTCGTCCACCAGCTCCGTCTCCAGCGCCGGCTTCTCCCCCTTCTCCCGCATCTTCTTGTCCGCAGCGGGGGCCCCCCTGCCCACAATCTGGTCCACGCTGGCAGGGAGGGAAGGGACACAGCCCATCACTCCCAGCGGACCAGAGGGCATGCGAGACCACAAGGGATGTGGGCACGGGAACATGTCCCACCCATCACGATGGCCCAGTACCCCTCCCAGTGGGCATGGCTAGTGGTGGCAGACCCAGGGGAGCCCAGAGCCCTCCGCCACCTTGGGGCAGCTCACCGCATCTGCAGGCTCTTGATCCTGCCCAGCATGTCCAGGTGGCCGGCCGAGTACTGCTCGATGACATCCTTGACATCGTAGGGACGCAAGGTCTCCTTGAACTTCCTCTTGGCCACCAGGAACTTCAGGATCCTGCAGGGACACCCGGGCTGGCTGCAGGGCACTGGGGAGGACCGGGGGTGCCTGGGGGCTCCATGCCAGTGCGGGCGAGGGAGGGGCACGTGCAAAGCACCGAGGTCCTCATCCCTGTCCCCACAGGGGGCTGAGCCAGGAGCCGTCCCTGCTCCCCGCCTGGCTTGGCCACTGCCATGGGCTGGACTGGGGCTCTCCGGACATGTCTGCTCGTCCCCGAGGGCCGAGAGCTGTGGAGGAGCTGGGGATGGCAGCATGTATGCTGGGGGACACGGGAGGGGACAGTCTCACCTAACAGCCCGGATGAGGGTCTTCACTGCTGGCATGATGTCCTCAAAGGTCAGGTCACAGTGGGAGGCCTTCTCCTCACTGCTGTCCTCCGGCAGGCAGTCGGCTGTGGGTGTCAAGAG